ACCAAACCCCGAACCTTAAACCTTGAACCTAAATCTCAAAACCCCGAATCCCTGAACCCAAAGCCCAAAACCCGACCCTTAAACCCTAAACCCGACCCTTAACCCTAAACCCCGACCCTAACCCCAAATCCTAAACCTTGAACCCTGAACCCTAAACCAAAAATTAAATAAATAATTCAATTTCATTGAAAATAAGTATGAAAGACATTAAAAATTTAGATAACATATGAATTTAATCGAAGAAAAGAGACAACCCGAGTAGAGACTGCCACGGCTAAATTTGGGACAAGTGTGTACAGCTCACACAACAAAAATGCATAGGTTTAGGGTGACAAGCTTGCAAAAGATATAAATTGAATTGTTAGAAAGATAAAGCATAAATGTTATCGATTTAATTGATTTTCTCAATTTGTAATCTTTATTAATTGACAGTTGAAAAAAAAGAATCAATAATAAGCAGTTAAAATGAAAATTTGAAAATACTTTTTATTTAAAAGATGCCACATATTCCAAAACGAGATATGGATAAGAACGACTCATTAACATAATTCTTCTAACTTCATTTATGATTATCTCCAATGTTGTGTTGTTTGGAGCAATCCAAATTCTAGCTCAATTTCAAATGTCTTATTTGATCTTATACATTTCTCTTTTTGGAAAAAAAATTAATCACCCATGGCGCTACATCATATTTTTCCAACACGAATGACATTTTTATTAACATAAATAAGACAAAATTGAATGGATGAATGTTGGCATGGGTGCTCGGAAGAACATGAGTTGGTAAGCTCATAATGGTTGGTTGGATTTATTGCAAATCAATGGAAATACCAAAAACAATGATATTTACATGAAAAAAATATCAACTAGCATGCTAACTAGTTGGTGTTGGTGCAAATGGGGTTTTGAAGGTATTCAAGAGATGACAAAATTAATTTCAAGGTGAGCCTTTAAATAGACTCTATCTTTAAGACTTATTTCGCCCCCACCACTTGGTATACAAAGAGGAATAATGCGAATAGCCTTAAGGATACAATGAAGCTAACTTCAAACTTCGTATTGTACTTTACGAAAGTAAACCGCTAGATACACTCGAAAGTTTGTAAAGTTGTTTGGCCTTAGAACCTACTTTCTGCAGCAAGTAAAATATAAGGAATTTGGAATCTCTTGTAGTTGATGGAAACTTAAGTGTTTCTGTTTTTATAACACAACACTTTTCTTGCTCTCAATATTTCTACTCTTGCTTTTGTGTTTGCTTTCGATTTTGATGTCTTGGAGAAGTAGCGATAATGTAAGTATCACATTATGGTGCTTTCAAAATGAAATCCTATTTTAACGTTTTTTAAATGTTAATGTCAATGTAAAAGAAAATAATTAGATAAAAGATGATTCAATTTAAGGAATAGAATGTAGATTTTTATATTTGATGCACTTATACACTGTTAAGACATTAAATAGTGCCATCTCACTAAATAATAAATTTAAAATTTTAAAGATCTTAAAAATAAATATTACTATTTTAAAGACAATAAAAACAATTTTTTTCTCTCCCTCCAATGACATCTCACTCAATCTCTTCTTCTTCTCTTGTTCTTCTTCTCCTATTATAATTTGAAAACTCTAAGTTTTTAATTTTGATTATTGAAGATAATATTTATTTCAATCTTCCTCTTAGTTTATCATTTTTTTAATATTATAATTTTTTATATTATTTTTATTTAATTAACAAAAGAGGTCTTTCAAACACCTTTGAGACTCACACTGTACAAAGAAAAATTATTTTTTATTTGTAGATTTTTGTTTAGGTTTGGTTTTTGAATTCATCATCTGAAAGGAAGTTGGCATAAATTTTTGTTTCATTCGATTTAATTTTCAACTAACTTGGAAGATGTGGACTTTCTAAGTATTTAAAGCAAGCTCGAGTTTTATAGAATTTTTGTATGTTGTAGGTTGCTAAGCAGATTAGGTAATTTTTGTAAACCACATGCTGCATTTATATTCCCAAAAAGAAATTTAGGCGTATAAGGTGTTTTGCTTTCCACTTTTTCCATTGCTTCATTCACTTATTCGAAGGCAAGTCAGTGGTCGAGGCTCGAGTGTCGGATATATATAAGAGAAGTCATGGTTCTTGAGTCTTGAGTTGCGGATATATATATATATATGCACTCATATATATATATATATATATTTACACACACATATACATATATATATAAAAAAAAGTCACGAATCTTGACTTTCGAGTCTTAGATATACACACACGTGTACATATTTATATATTTAAAAAGTCTGAGGTTTCATATCTCAAGTTTATATAAGAGAAGTTATGAGTTTGGGTTCTTGGATCTCATGTCTCAGGTCTTAGGTATCAAAGATATATACATATATATATATATATATATATGTATGTGTGTGTGTAGGTTTTGGATCTTGAGTCTCATGTCTTGAATCTCAAGTCTTGAATATGTGTGTGTACACACACAAACGAACTCACAAGTCTATCCAAAAAGGCCCAAACTCGAGCCACCCCAACTCTCAGAAATAGGGGTATGCAAATGCAAATCAAATTGAATTGAAGTGAGTTCGGTTTTTTCGATTCAATTAATTTGGTTCTTCGGGTAGTTCAGTTATTAGAATTAATTCGATTATGTTTCGGTTCGAAATTTTCTTAACCTAACTAATCAAACTTGAACAAGGGTATAATAGGGTTTTGCATGAGAAATAAATCATAAACTATTTATTGTTATTTTTATCCATATTTTTTAATTATTTATTGTTTATATGAGTATCTATCTTATTTATTGTAATTGTTTATCATCATTTCTAATATATTTATAATATTGATTTACAAAAAAATACAATATAAATAAATATATACAAAAAAAATCTCAAGTTATAGTTTTTGAAAATTGAACCAAACTAATCGAATAAATTTAAATTCGATTAGTTCAATTATTTGTGAAATTTGGTTTAATTTCAATTATTTTTAAACATAAATTTAATTAATTCAATTATTAGATATCCAAAACTAAACTAACACAAACAACCGTTTGCACTACCCTACCCTCTAGAATTGGAGCAGTCTACAATTTGATAGTGCCGTGAAGTACTTTCTTTTTTGGACTTAAACTATGTACAATCCTTTCCAAAGAAACCAGTCAATGATTGATATCAGTTAATCAGGTATCTAACCAAGCTCTGTATATTACAATTACAGATTTTCTTTTGGGAACTGATACAGAAGCCTGAAATTTTCACTCTACCCACATAAGAGCCTAACACTACGTCAAACCAGTTAACAAAAAATTGTGATTATTGAAGTTAGAACCTCATGGACCAAGCTTGCTTTTATTAGAAGGTGATCTTCATCCTACATTCCACACAAACAGGTAGAAGTAAATCCAAAAGCATAAGACACCAGAAAAGAAGTTTTATTCCTTGTCAATGGGACAACTAAATTCAACACATTGGAATCACTTTTGGCTAAATGCACACCACAATGAATCATAAAACTGTGAAGGATCTGTGAGCGATAACAGATTTACACAAAAATCCTATACTGCCCACACTACAACCAAGAGCCTACCATGAACAAACAAAGGGAAGGAGACGCCAAAAAATAGGTGTGAGCTGAATAATATCCGAATACATGAAGTGAACTTAAATAAGAATACTCATGGAATGGCCAGGTGGAAGAGAAAAAAAAACTTGTACAAGTTGGAGGGAGTTAGGGCACATATTCATTCTCGAGAGTTGGTTGAGTCCGAGTCACTGTTGCAGCTGGTGCTTTTGCATCCCCAACCGAGGTCATACGTAGAGCTTCTCCTACTTCTGCTGCTTGCTCCATCTGATGCATTTTCTTCCTCTGCTTGTACTTCTGTGACCACAGTACCAAGAATGCCAACGAGACCAATAAGGCCAACCCACCCAGGACAGAACCAACAATTATCCAGACCTTTCTACTAGTCTTATTTTCTGGAGCACTTGGTGATGGCATGTTTGAAGCTCCACCTCCACCTGATGGCAAAGGAGATATTGGGGCTGGAGAAGGGGCAATAGACTCAGAAACTATAGAAAAATGTCCCTGCTGGATCATTGAACACTCATTGCCTGAAGCTAAATTGCTGAATTGGACCAAACCATGTAGATCAAACCAAACACACTTTGCAACTGACCCATCTGGTGCCGATTGCACATCAGAGAATTTGATCTTGATGGGATCACCAGATGCCCTAATATCCAATTCTGGCGAATTTTTAGCAGATAAGTTAGAAGCATCATAAGCAAGAAGACCCAGAACAGGAGCCAGGTAAGTGTAGTTGGGAAGTGAATAATACACCATTGACCAATTGCCCAAGTTTTGGTAGACCAAAACCAGTCTCTCCACATAAGGCTGCTCTACAACTCCAGTGGGGATCTCAAACTCCTTGTACATCTTCACACCTCTGTTCCTCAAACTACCACTCCTAAGCCTCATTGCTGCAATCCTAATCCCAGTCAAATTTGATGGAACAACCCCATCATAGGGTAATCCTGTCCGTGGATGTGCTAAAGCCCTATAAGCATAGTCTTGGAGAAGAGCATCAAGAGCTCGTGCAGAGCTTGTTGAAGAGGCATTAATAGATTGAGCCATGAGATCCGGAAACCTGAGTAACCACATCAAAAGGACAAGCATCGCGAGACTTCCAAGAAGTCCCATCAATGCTTCAGTCCTGAAATTCAGCCCAATGCAACTCTGTTACCCTTGTAAACTCCCCAGTCAAATACCCAGAAAGTCAATATTCAAAAAGAAGCCAACAATTAATTCCTCAGATTTCAAAAAAGATATAGGGTATAACGGACGCTATGCAGTAAATTCTCGAGAGAAGCTTCAAAATCACGAGTCACAGATTAGCAAATTCATACTGGTGTCATGTCTACATCCTCAAATATGTCACAACGGATACTGTGTAAAGGAAAAATATATTCGTCTCCATCCAAAAAGCAGCTTTGAAGGTTTCAAACGTTGCAGCCCTCCCAGGCTCGGACTACCTCTTTTTTCTTTTGCCCTCACTTTAGAATACTTGTAAAAGAAGTGCTCAGAGACTGAGGGATCTTTGCAGCATTTTAGTTAATGTCTCAAATGAAGTAAAACCCTGAACCTTGTTCTTTTTCAGCATTTCAGCATAGTTGCGGATAGCAGAAGTGATTTTTAAAGAATATAAAACCAGTCGAATCTCGCAGAAAAGGAATGCCTAATCCAGCAATTATTATAGTTCCAAAATTGCACCCAGAAGAAGAGTAACGCAGATTCAGTAGCAATAATCGAATGGGAGAGAGAGACTTGAGATTTAGTACCTGACTGTTTATATTTCAGTTGAAACACACAGAATCTTGGGCAAATCTTGAAAGACCCGGTAATGCCAGCATTTTCCTCTTGATTTTTAGAAGCATGCAGCCGCATTAAATACTCAGCAACAATCACCCCAGACCAAGAGACAGACCGTAAAACCCTAAAATCTTGAGGTAAATCATGATTATAGTACCAGGATCACATGAAGTAGGTGCAAAAAAAGCAGTGGCATTTGACTAAATCAACAAAGAGAGAGACCGACGGATGCTATGCAAATGTAGCTTTTGGGGGTTGATGAGACAGAGATAGATCCTTACAGCAGCATCGAATATTATATTACTTTTTATGTATTTTTATATACTAGTGATTATATATATATATATTTAGTGTAATATGTAGAACAAAGATAATTTGTTACTAGTACTTTTTAAGAAAAAATTTGCAGAGGCTGACAGTAATCCTTTAGAGGAGGAGGAGATGAGATAAGCAGACACACTCTCTTTCTCTCTCACTAAACACCAAAGTAGAGGTGGGATCCGAATAGCGAAAAAAATAAAAATAAAAAAAAAGAAAAAACAGACTGCAAAATTTAAGAGAAAGAAAAAGCAAGGCTATATAAATGCTTTGATCCACCAGGTTTTTTCTTTTGCCGAAAGGGAGAGGTTTTTTAGCAACGCGCGGTAGAGAGTTGATTTACAAGCAGTGAAAGTAAATCTCTCCTCACACCCACATGCTTTTGTTTATTCTCTGCCTTTACAATATTGCCCTCGTTGCTTAAATCCTTAAGGTCTAATTTAGAAATATAAAAGATTGAATTACGAAGAATTTGATAAAGTTAGATTTTAAAATTGGAATCTAATTTTTTTAGTCATACAATGAAAGAGGATGAACATGACAGTCCTCAGGGACTATTTGGTCACAAATATTAAAAGCAAAAATAGTGGTGGAAATTCAGGTTATTATGGTGATCCACACATTTCCATTTGCCACAGCCTCTACTCTGCATATCAGATAAGCAACACCAAAAGAGTACAATACAAACAACATTCCAAAGCCCGAAGTGGAGAGAAAAAAACCATGGTGACCCTTTCTCTGCCTATGCGTCAAGCCCTTACCTTCCCCTCCTTTCCCATTTACTCTGCAATTTCTTCAAACAGTGAGTCTTTGAGAGCTTTTGGATATGAACCTCTTCAATTTGTGTCTTAGGCTAACAAATAGTCGTATTCTTTTTTCAATAAATTTTCCAAGTTTGTGGACGACAGGGAGGAATCGGGTAGCTATATTTTCGTGTGCTAATGGTGATGATGGGCAGCGGCATAGGAACCTCCGGCGGAGAAGGTTTTTATTCTAGATTTTTCTTCTCTTTTTATTTCTTGCTTTGTTGTGTTAATGATTCGTTGCCTTGCTGGATGCCACTCTGCAGTCTGGACATTGAACGTGCCATCCGAATATCGACCAAACTTTCAATTTTGTCCCCTCTCATTTTATGTCTTCCCAAAAGTGCACAACTTTTGCTCTAATCCTTATTTTTTTCATGTCTTCTATTGAACTGTCAACATTGTTTACAATTAAATTCCTGTCGTCTTATAACTTCCTTTTGGCATTGTCTCCCAAGTCATATTTTTTTTCTTATTTGGTATATGTATAGATATATGGCCATTTCCATTTATCCATCGCTTAGGCTTCAAATGCAAACTCCTGTCAAACAGTTGTGGTGATGATGGTTCTGATTTCTTTTCTAGAACGGTCCCTAAAATCTAAGCGTCGGCCCTTTGCACTATGTCTAAAGTCTTTTGTTTCACTTAACCCTTCAACTCTAGTGCATGTCGCTTGTTGTTTAAGCATCCACAATGAGGTTCTTTCTATCTTGCATGCTTATGGAATAAATAATATTACCATTTCTTTCAGGAAGGTGGTGGAACACCTATGTCTGCTCAAAGCAAACAAGTATTTATCCTATGATCAAGAGAAGGATATGCTGGATTATCTTTACACATCTCAATATCAGATGCGTGGAATTGTTGCAGTGTCTTTGGGTTAGAACACTTTCCACTCAGCTGCAACTAATTGCCTATGATTTCAAAAGGGCTAATTATATATTCCGTACTCACCTACACCGAACTGTCTATTTGGTACTTAAAAAAAATTTACAATTAGGTATTCCAACGTATATTCTGTGAAGCAGATCGCACCCCAACTAACTTCATTAATGGAAAATCTGAGGTGGCTTAAACCGCCAACGCTAGCGCACCTGTCTATTCGGTACTTGAAGAAAAAAAAAACTACAATTAGGTATTTCAATATTCAATCTGCAAACCATATCACATCCATACTAACTCTGTTTTATATAAAATCTGACGTGGCTTAAACAGCCAATGCTAATGCACCGTCAGTCATAGAAATGCCAAGTCAGATTACATTTCATTGTTGTTATTACCTATACAAGTTTGCATGTGGTAGTCCACCCATCTTCCTTGCGTTTTGTCTAGATCTTTCATTTAGTGCAAGTATAACAGAAAGCAAAAATCTTTCACATATGATCCAATAACTAATAAATCATCCCGTTTTAATCCTTGATTTAGTTTCAAGAGTTACTCAAGGATGAAACTTGTGCTTATATTCTACAAAAGCACCATACTTAATGTGGATATGCTATATTCATATATACAATTAAATCAAGCATATCCTTCCCTTCATCATCAGATATTCCAGCTTATGTATATACTCTGAACCATCTTGTATGACCGATATTTTATCTACTCCTGTAGGCCAAATATCTGGTCAAACTAAAGAAGATTATACTCATGCTGTCTTCATGCGTTTCCAAAGTAAGGAAGACCTTACAAAATTCTATGAGAACCCTTTCTACCTGCAAGTTCTGAAGGAGCATGTAGTGCCTAACTGCCATGTATGCCCTGACATGTAAACACCAAACTTAATTTCTATGATTTTTTTTTCTTTAACTTCATTATGAAATAATCTGAGTAGCAATGCATAATTTATTGTTCTGTTTATAGAGTTCAAGGTTGGATGCATCATTGCAGGGACTAATGAATGTGGATTATGAATCTGAAGTGGAAGACGATATACTTCCTATATTTCGTAAAGGAGAGGTTACATGCAACATACCCTTTGATCTCCATTGATATCATGAACTTTGCTTCTACAAGTTTCTTCTTTGAGTCAATGGAGAATAATACTTGTCCTCCTTTTTCCCATACAGGTTTAGGATATCTAATCATTAAATGCTGAAAAATGAATAGATGTTCAGAATGGATTTGTTTTATTTAATTTACAGCTTGGAAGAAATACGTTATGCTTCTCACTTCCAGTTTCTGAGTTCTTCTTATAACTTCTGAAATAGATTAATTTGCTTTTGGTGACAGGACTTCAACTATGGTGTAGAGTTTGTGCTTCTGATTGCATTTGTTGAGGCTGCAATCAGTGGACCAGCAGAAGATGCATTGACATCTCTTCAAGAGCTCACTATGGAATTTCCATGCTTAATTGTCCAATGCACTCAAGGTGTGTGTAATGAAAAGAGCAATGTTGTTTCAGTATACTGCCTAATAATCCTCCCTGACATTTGATCTTAAATTGGGAAGTCTGATTAAGCTGTGATTAGGTTGTAGATTAGATCTATATCTTTGCATTGCTGCTTCCCTCAAGTCAATTTTGTCATATAATGTGAAGGTCTATTGTTATAGTTATGAGTTAGTGGTTGTGTTTTATTTCTTGCTGGTACGTATTGTAGGTTCAAACTTCAATTTTAGCAGTGAGGATTATACACATGGAGTTGTGATACGGTTTCGATCTCGTAGGTTCCTCTTCATGTTCTCTACTATCTGATTTAACATTTTGCTTCTGTTGACTGCTATTTATGGGGCATGCTTGCAGGTGAGGCCTTTGAGATATTTTTTACCAGCTCAGGATACAGAGATGTAAGAAGCCTCATGCTGTGGATTTGACAAATTTATATGATAATTATACCTTTGTCTTCTTCTTCATGTGGTTTCCATGAGTATGTTTGCACCCTTTCTACTTGGGGCTTGAGTATTTCAGATATTCTTAGAAATGGTGCAAGTTGCTGAAAAACTCTGTTTCTCTCTTGATATGTAGGCTATAGTTATTTTCAGCTTCTACTGATATCATTTGGTAAAGTTGTTCTTTTTTTTTTAATCTTTTTCTGGCTTCTAGCGTTCACAAATTCTTTCCTTAAACATTCACAACTATTTTTGTATAAATTTTATCCCTTAAATTTGTCATCATTCTTGCCAATTTTGAGACTGGAACTTGAAATATGAAACAGGCTTGTTAAAAAAAAATTACTGTTTCTTTGCAAATTAAAATCTTTTTCAGAGTCCAATACTAGATGTTTTGCTTTAATTTTTATGAAGAGATCAAGTTCCAAGAGATTAACTATACTTTTAATTTGTGAAAACAGGTGTGGAAATCTAAATTCCAACCGATAGCCAGGAAAACACTAGCCATTCATTTTTCTGTTGATCCCGTGGGCACTGAGATAATGTAGTAAGAATCCATTACTTTTACTTTTTGCATTCCTGATGATGCAATTAGACATATGCGTGAGAATTAAATAGAACGGTTGCGAAGGTTTGTAACACATCCCAACTTCTTTCTCCCTTCTCTCCTTACCTAACTAAACTGCTGTTCATTTTGTTTCTTCTTTCTCCCTGCCTTTAGTATATCTTGAGTTGTATCTTGGGTGGGTGGTTGTCTTTTTCGGATCCCTTGGGTTCGAGGTGTGACTTTAGCTGGGTTTTTTCCTTTTGTTGGGAATTTTGTCATCAGATCTCTTTAATAAAATTGCTTTTTGCTTTGCAAAAAATATATATTTTACTACCACAATATTATGAAAATATGCTTGTGGTTCACCTGTACTCTTTTAAATAGACCAATTGGTAGTTGATTAATGATATTAGTCAGGTTTTACCAGTTCTTTAGTAAATTGAGCTCCCACCCAAAATTGCCACGGATTTTGTATCATTTGATGACTGGTATAGTCCAAGATCTTTCCCGTGCACATTCTTATTCTACTATTTTCTTCCATTAGATTAAATGACTCAGTTAGATATGAGCTCCAACACAATACTTGTCTAAAGTTAATTTGGTTAGAGACGATAGGGTAACAAGGACTTTCTTTGCAGGGTATTCTTGGAGAAATGATGCAAGTTTCAACCAATATTGCTTAAAGGGTATTATTCATGGTGACAAACCTCAAGAAATATTGCTTCAAGGGTACAAGACTTTAATTTCACTATGACATTTTTATGTATTCTCGTAATTGCAGGTGCAAAAAGTTAATTTATGTTATCGTTGTCCTTAACTAAACGATTTCCTTTTGTTTCATGAATTGGTTGATGGGGCATTCGTTTATCTTGTTTATGCTTGCCGGTTTTAATATTAAGGTAGTTGAAAAGAGATGTGAAAAATCTTGGCAAATGGCAAATAGGTTTTGCGATTTTTTTGTGGTTAGGCATCTGAGGTTGAATAACACTTTGCATTAACATGTTACGTGGTTCATGACTTTATTTTGGTTACAATTGAATATTTTAAATTTTTTGATGGGGAGATTATATATAATTGCTGTGGTGCCTTTGCTACGTTGCAGGTTGTTTTTTCCTAATATGTTTTTCTTCATTTGTCTCTCCCTTGTTACAATCAAAGTCTATAATTTTCTGATGAGCTAACACAATTCAATGGCGAACATAAATTTAAACGTAAGGGGAAAGATGGATTAGCATCTAATCATATTACTCTATGATAGGTGTAATATACATATCTGATTTGATGTTGAGAATTATAATTAAAATGAGGTTATTTGGCAAGAATTTGTAAGAATGCAGAAATATCTCTTTTTTTTTGGTAAAACACGAATATCACTTTTCTCAAATAGAGCACTTTTGACCCTTTTTTTTTTTTTCTTTTTCTATGTGTATTCAAAAAGCGATTGTTACTTTGATATATAATTGATTTAGTACCTATAAACTAAAATTATGTGATTAATAGAAACATATTATGTATATTAAAAAAACACCATCTCATGGGATCAACTTGAAAGGAAAGAAAAAAAGATTGAGGAGATAAAAGAGGAAGAAGAAATGAAAGGAAAGTGCTCTTTTTTTAAAAAAATTAATTAATTTAGGATTTCCTAATTTTTATTTTTTTCTCAACAATTAAAAGTTTTAAAATTTTCTAATTAATGAGATTATGCCACCTTTTTTATTCTTTTAATTGAAAAATATGTTAAACACGATAATTAAATATATATATATGTATATACAAAAATATTGAATGGTTTTAGTAATTATATAATGTTTACAGTCACACTCACAATTTTTATAAAAATTAAACTAAATCTATTAAAGCTTTTTTTTTAAAGCAAATACTAAATCCGTTAACTCTCTTTAAAAAATTACTTCCATCATGATTATATTAAAATTTATGTTGCTTTTTGCATGCATACGCATGAGTACATTAAGCTTTATTACATTCCCATACAAATTTATATGTATAATTTTTTTATTTCAATTATGTTAACATTTAAGCAAATAATTTGGAATAAGAATGTCATAGCTTTTTTATAAATACAAAGAAAGTTAAGAAAAAATCATATATATATGGATAATATTATAATATTATTGAATAAAATATGCTGATGTGTATGTTTACGTGTTCAAATTATTTTCATGACATGTAGGAAAAAAATAAAATATGTAACTTGCCAAATTCAAATAAAAGGCTAAATTTTTATATTTAAAATTTGAAAATATCTAAAATTATACAATTTGCTGAATTTTTTGAATTACTAATAGAAATTTAATAATTAAAACATCTATACAATAATTTTCACGTATTTTGTGTATAGCAGCTAAATAACACATACATTTAAAAATGTTAAAAAGAAAGTATAGACAATAAGCGGTAATTATAAAAATTAATTTGTAATTAGTGTATTGTAACGACAGTTCCTATTTTCGGATTTTAGACTGATATTGACTCGTGTCCTGTGTAGTGTGTCCGTGCTTCTCTGCTCTGTACGGCTTAAGCTTTCCACCGCTCAACTTGCGTAGCAGTGGGTTCAGATTTCTCTCTCAGATCTTTCTCAACTTGCATCGATCCGTTGTCTTCCGGGTATTGCTTTTTCTCTCATTTGCCAAAGTGCAGGGTTTTTGTTTCAGATCTGCCCAATACGCATTGCATTTTGGCTGGTTCCAACTTTTAAAGACTAAATTATCATGTAAAAATGCAGAATCTGGTGTAATGGATAGCAACGCTTCCAGCAATGGCAACGGGGGCGGGGGTTATCGCTTCCGGAGAATACCTCGACACTCTCTCCCTCATCTCAAGCTGGATCCTTTGGTCACTTTTTCTCTCTGCTTTACTTGCTTCTAGCATTTATTTATTTTTATTTTGACTTACTAAAAACTAGGAAAAAGAAAAATAATTTTTCAAATTTTTGAAGTAGTCGCTTTAAGGGTAAAATCCCTCATATTTGCCTGTTTATATATTTGTTAGATAATGTGCATAAAAAAAATTGGATTTTCTTATGCTAAAGTGAATTGTATATTTTGTTGGACTCAGCTTGATGAAAATTTGGAGCAGTGGCCACATCTAAATGAACTCGTTCAGTGCTATAGAAGCGATTGGGTTAAAGATGATAACAAATATGGCCACTATGAAACTATCAGTCCTGTTTCCTTCGAGAATCAGATATTTGAAGGGCCGGATACTGATATTGAGACGGGTGAGATTCTAGCTACCATCTACTTTTTCTTGAAAGAAAAAAGAATGCTATTAATTTCTTGCACTCTATTTGCTCTGGTATCTGCTATATTTATGCAGAAATGCAGCTTGCCAGTGCGAGGCAAATTAAAGCTGAAGATGCTACCGATGATGACGTCCCAAGTTCCTCAGGAAGGCAATTTACCAACGCTGATATTACAAAGGTTGCTCTGGTTTTACATTCACCTTGCTATTTTTCTTTTTCTCCCACTTTATTAGCTTCTACAGTATATCCTCTTAATTTCCCATATGTGGTAATTTCCTTTAAAATTTCATGATATATTTGTAGCATTTTGGTCAGTCTCCCCTTCCAGCTTATGAACCAGCTTTTGACTGGGGAAATGAGAGGTCAATGATATTTGGCCAAAGGATTTCAGAAACCACTACAACACACTATGGCAGGTTTGAATCTTATTGCTCCAGTAAAATTTTTTGTTTGATGTTACTGGTTTGTTTTAGATTAATTTCTCATTGAATGACCCTTTGTCTCTTGGGATGGTTGACCATAGTGGATTGAAGATCTCAGTCAAAGTTCTCTCCCTTTCCTTTCAAGCTGGACTTGTTGGTTAGCATTCCATCCCTATAATTGACAGGATACTCTGGCTTCTCATTATCGTGTTGTTACTTCACTTTCATTCTTTTTACTGTTTCCAGGTTTCTGACTTAGATAACTTCTTTCTCTCGCAGAGCCATTCTATGGAACCATTTGCATATATAATAGGGAGAGAAGAGAAAAACTGTCAGAAGATTTCTATTTTTGTGTGCCACCAAGTGAAATGCAGGATGTAAGCAATAAGGCCAGTTATGCCCTTTCATTTTATGTAATAAGATTAATTTTCAATAAATGATGACTAAGGAGTATTTGTTTCTGTTACTCTTTTGACAGGCTAAAGTGCCTTTAGAACCTCGTGGAATATTCTATCTAGATGCTCCATCAGCGTCAATCTGTTTGCTAATCCAGTTAGAGAAGCCTGCAACAGAAGAAGGCGGTGTAACCCCTTCAGTTTATTCACGTAAAGAACCGGTATTTGCATGGACATCTATCACACTGGCTTTCTTCTTGTTTTCAATCTCTCATTTAATTTGTCAGATTTCAATATTTTCTTTCCTTGTTCGTTATCCGTTAACGGGATTGCTTTTGATCCCTCCTTATCACTTCCTCATTTTGGAGTGAATCCTGTTGACCTGTTGAAAATCAATGCCTTCACATGTAGTTTATGAGTTTATCTAGGTTTTTGGTGCTTGATATTGGTTTAGGGCTGGAGTAATCAACTGTTATCCAAATCAATATTACAGTCTGTTGGGCTTGGTTGGAGCTTTTAAAAAAGTGCTGTTCTAATAAAGCTATTCCAGAAGTGCTATAAAGGAAAGTGGATATAGTGTTTGGCAAACTTGGTTTAGAAGCATTATACAATGTAGAAAGCTGTTTGGTAGTAAGTTTGTAAAAACTGCTTTGAAGTGGGGACAACAAAAGTTTCATTAAAGTTTAAATTTTAGCCTCTACTTGCTGTAGCTCTTTAAAGTTAAGCTACAAATTCTGGTTCAGTTTGTAGTGGTCTAATAGTTGTCATGAGCTTCCTGTGTAAGTTTTTTCAATAGTTTCAAACTCCTTACTTCAGCATTTTTATTAGCAAAGGCTTCTTAAAGGCTGGGCCAAACACGTGCTTACTCTAAATAGAAGCAATTTGGTATTAGTACATGCTTCTAAAATCTGCTTGATCTGAGGACATAAATCTGACTTTTATGCTTAGATGGCAACTACATTAGTCATTCTTTAGCTGCATGCTGTGTTACAGTAAAATGGCAGCTTGTTGATATTTTTTGCTGCACAAAAACATTGGCAACTGGAAGGCTATCAGGTTGGTTGCTTAGAAGGAAAACTGTCATAATATATGTGGTGGCCTAGGGTTTAAAGTATGAGAGAAGGTGCTTTATTTATACTAAAAAGAAGGCTGACAACAGCCTCACTGTTAATGATCTTCCAGAAAATGAATATTAGGTATAAATAGCATGTGGTGCTTTTGCGCTTCTGTGATTAAGAGACGACATATAGCCATCAAATTTTGTAAATCTAGTATGAAGACTTTGTTAAGCTTTGACATACTAATGATAATCTGTCTTGGACTCCCTAAAAGAGACGCTGCCTTATAACTCTTTCTTTTCTCTATCCTCCGTCTAAACAGGTGCACTTGACTGAGAGAGAGAGGCAGAAGCTGCAGGTGTGGTCTCGTATAATGCCTTACAGAGAGTCCTTCGCCTGGGCTATTGTTCCATTATTTGATAACAGCATTGGTGCAGCTTCTGGTGGATCTGCTTCTCCTAGTAGCCCTCTTGCTCCCGGCATTTCTGGGTCGACTTCTCATGAGGGTGTGTTTGAGCCTATTGCAAAGATTACATCAGATGGAAAGCTGGGTTATTCTAGTGGAAGTTCTGTTATTGTTGAAATATCTAATCTAAATAAAGTGAAAGAAAGCTATACTGAGGAGTCACTTCAGGTATTGCTTAGTTGCTTTCTCGCCTTTTATCTGTTGTTTTTTAGTGAGCAGGTTGGCAAGATATTTAATGGAAAAACTTGACCTCTTTTTGCTTCTCTCCCCGTCAATATAACTTTAAGTAATTGTTAATGTTATATGAACTTCTATGTATCAGTATAAATTAGCTTAACTTTGCTTCATTTGTAGCAAGTGGTTAACTAACTTTGGTCTTCTTTGTTGATTATCTTCAATATATAGCCAATGTTCTTCCCAAGTTCCCTTGCTGAGCTTTTGTTGTTAATACGTTTTAAGTTCATTGTGGTCTAATTTGTCCACCAGAAAGGTATTATGTTATTCTCTCCTCGCCCTCGTGTGTGTGAAAGAGTAGGGGAGGGAATCTTTACATTTTCTATCCTCCTTCTTGGTGTTGTTTTGCTGCCACAATCCATCCTAAACATGTGTTCACCAATGGATTTTGAACAATTTGAAATGGGTTTTTCAAGTTCTTGTATGAGTAGCACAAATTAAAATAGGTAGCAAGAATTGAATTCTGTTTTGGGTAAAGATATTGCCTTAATTTTGAAATTGTTTTTTCTTTTGGAATTTTATTTTACATGAATCATTGAGTTGATGATAATTTTTTATCTATCTGAAGATTGAGCAAAGTATTGAGGTCTTTACTAGGTTTTTTAGAAGTTTCAATAAGGTGCCAAAAAATAGAAAATATTTTCTATTGTGTTATCCAAACAATAGAATATATATATATATATATATATATATATATATTTTGTGAAGGATATTTTCCACATAATATATTTTCCTCCAACAAGTCATTTTCTGTAAAACAAAAAGAGCCTAACTGAAAGTTTTGGAGAAATTAGAATGGGCCATGATGCCTCCTGGCCTCTCCATGCTTGAATGGCTGTGGCAAGCTTCCTAACAAGCCTTATTATTCCTTTTGCTTTGCATTGTCCATTTCAAGCACAATGGGACTGCTTTCTAGGCTGTTTGATGGCCAATTAAAATTGAACTCCTCTATGATTGTTTTAGTGTCAGTATAATCAAGGCTTGTTAAGCTGAGAATTCAATTAAAGGTAATTTACATGCTTACAGCTGTTTTAGGCCATAAAGCATTACACAGCTGTAAATTGCTGGCCAATCAATTGGGATGTTTCTCTAATTTTCTGACTGAGGGCCATTCTGGACTGTGAACCATTAATAACCTGTTCATCAATTGATTGGTCCTTATATTCTGTCAACATTTGTGTTTGCATGATGATGTTACGTTAAACTAGCTTCCTGTTTTGGTCTTCTTTTTCCTTTATTATGTATCTGCTATTTACTATAGTGTTTTCTTCTAATATTCTGTTTACTTTTTGCCTTTTTTCTGATATAATAGGATCCTAAACGAAAGGTCCATAAACCTGTCAAAGGTGTTTTGAAATTGGAAATTGAGAAGCACCAGACTGTTCATACCGAGCTGGAAAATGTATCAGAGAGTGGCAGTGTGACAAATGATTTCCTGGATCCAGCGGATCCCATTGCTGATATACTGTCTTCAAAGAGTCCTGGAAATTGTCTGGATGGACCTCAGAGTAGCAACTCCAAGTGGATTTCGAGTGATGGGAAAGATGTCTCCGGAAATGGATCTAACACTCAGGGAAATCCAGATTTCTGTGCTGATGATGTAAGCAGAACACCTTTGCGCTGATTTTTGTCTTTGGGTTTAGCTATGGCATGCCAACTAGCAATTACCTCTTTGCACAGCTGATAGGAATATATTGGTGATCATACCATTGAGTATGGTGGCTCTAATTGTCATTTTTTTTCCATTTTAATATTTGCTGACGTCTAATCTCTAAGCAAGGTTTGTGACTTAATTGGCTGAGTGCATATTCTAAATTTCCTGTCTAGTATTATGGTTCCAGCTATTCTGACAGAATCTTGACTAGGAAAATTATATTACCTGCTGGGATCAGACAATGAATCAATCATAGCGATAGGTGTATAATTATTCAATTCTTAAACGTTGTATTGATAGTAAAATTGCTATCCTTTTGCACTTGGCCACCAACTCATTTATATTTCTTATTAGTTGATGCACATGGCGGTGTTATGCATTTTGTAAGTTTTCTCAAATTCATAGTCGGAGCACCTTTTGGGTCCATTAATGATCAATGTGCTGTGTGTCTGTGGAAAATTACTTAAGAAAAATGTGTGGGAGATCCATGTCAAGTTGCTGCCTCAATTAAGAGCATGCAGTTTAGTTGTAGTCTTTAGTTTTTTAAGTAGCCTGTACTTTGGGTTTGGGTTAAAAATTAAACTGAACCTAACCCAAGAAGGCTGTCATCCAAATTAGATGCGTCTTGTAATGTGATGATTGTGATATGGCTGCTACTTTCCTGTGCATCTAAGAATCTTCTCATTGGGACTGGCATGTTATCAGCTATTTTATTTTATATTTTTTTAAAATCCAATCAGCAGTGCTAATTGTTAATTGTGTGGAACTCATTTTATCTAAATTTCAATGTTAATTCATCTGACAGTTTCAGGCTTTTGACTTCCGTACAACAATGAGAAATGAGCCATTCTTGCAGCTCTTTCATTGTCTATATGTATATCCCTTAACTGTGAGTTTGAGTCGGAAAAGGAATCTATTCATACGAGTTGAGCTAAGAAAGGATGATGCAGATGCTCGTAGGCAGCCTTTAGAGGTAAAGGTGTTGATTGATGTTTTGCATCCGGTTTTCTTGATTTTATCTTACTTGTTTCTGTGGTCCAATTATTACAACTAGGCAATGTATCCGAGGGAGCATGGTTCATCACTCCAGAAATGTGCCCACACGCAAGTTGCTGTCGGTGCTAGGGTGGCTTGCTACCATGATGAGATTAAAGTTTCACTGCCTGCAGTCTGGACACCATTGCATCACCTTTTATTTACTTTCTTCCATGTTGATCTTCAAACTAAACTTGAAGCTCCAAAACCAGTGAGTTCCGCATGAATTTATGTTCGGGAAATAATGATAGCATGGACTTTGTCTGTAATTTAGTTTTTATTCTTTTTTTTAAATAAATTTTATATTTCAGACCTATTTTTGAGCTTTCTCTTCCTTCACTTGTTTTTTCCCTTTTTATTTGTCATATTAATATTGTAGAAAGAGTCATTCTGTTTGTTAACCTGGCAGGTAGTTATCGGATATGCATCACTTCCGTTGTCCACCCATGCTCAGTATGTATTTGCTCAAATTGAACTTCCTCATTTTATCTTGAAATTGGAAATAACAAATCACTGCTTCATGCGTAAAAAACTTGATAATTCGTTATGAAATGGGACAACTGGTTTTTTTTTTTTTTGGCCAAGGACCACTGATTTAGTATGCTTATTTTTAGTTTAGCATTAGATGGTGTTAGGTGATAGGCCAATTATTAGCAATCATTTTGGATAAATTGGAGAAGTAGTGGGTGCTTCATCTATGGGGTAAAAACAAATGCTGAGGTGCTTTACTAATTTTCATTCCTCTCTGGGGCAAAGGTTTATTTGCAGCTTATTTATGTCGCACTCTCTTGTCTTTTTTGTATTATTATTAAAGATTTTAGAATATATGTTTCCTTAACATTAGTCCCATCATTGTTCAATGGGTTCATTAAATCCATAATTTGATTTTTTTTTCTTAAATTCAGATTGCGTTCTGAAATTTCTTTACCAATAATGAGAGAACTGGTTCCACATTATCTCCAGGATTCTGGCAAGGTATGTTTGGCAGCATTAAGTATTTAATATCATAACCACTCTATTATTTTCTACACTGTAGTTTGATGAAATATTGTCATTCTGTTTATAATCAATGTATTTGTTGTATTTTTGTTTTGTATTGTTAAACAAACTTGTTACTTTGACTTAGTCTGGTGTTATTGGTTTTTATGAATGATATTCAAGGTCATAGAGTTGAAAGCAAGGCGTTTTTATGCTTATATGAGATAGTTTAGTCCATTAGTGTTATGAGTTGTGTTTCCAGTCTGATGGGGTGAGTTGGATGCTTGCCTTTGAAACTTGACATTGCCAATTCATGTTTACTTTTCCTCTTCTCTGTAGGAGAGGTTGGATTATTTGGAAGATGGAAAAAGTATTTTCAAATTGCGCTTAAGACTATGCTCGTCTGTGTACCCGATTAATGAGCGCATCAGGGATTTTTTTCTTGAATATGATAGGCACACTCTTCGAACAAGCCCACCTTGGGGTTCTGAACTTTTGGAGGTACTTTTTTTTATGCTACTTGGTTCATCTCCATATTTCTCTATCTTTTAGATCCATTTTGTTTTTCCCCTAATTATATCCTAATTTAGTTTTTATAATTTGAAATTTACTACTTTATTGCAAGATGAACATCATAAACTGAGATGAATAACTGTAGAAGTGGTGGCCTAGCTAGATACCTCAATTCAAATTTAATATCTACAACAATGGACATAGATAGGTATTTGTATCTTTGCCCACACTCATACGTGGCTTGTGTAATACTTGCAAGTTTATCAATCTCTAGAGCTTCCAAAAAGAAAAGGTTGCAAGAGCCTCCTGACAGTATTGGCTTTCCAAGGGGGCAAAGTAGAGTATATATGAGTCAAAGTGAGCCTTATTTGAGCTCTTTAATTCTTGGTGCATTCTACAATTGAGAACACTGGGGTCTTGGTGGAGCTCCCAAAATATGGGGGTTTCATCTCACCTGCAATTCTTTTACCTACAATTCTATAATTTGATTAGTTAGACATACCAAAATCTGACATTTGGGCAAAGAAAAGAAAGGAAAACCATCACTTTTCAGTCTGTTAACAAATTGCTTCAAAAATAAAATACGGGGGTTTCTTCCCCTCACCCTTGCCATAAGAGGAGGTGATCTTCCTTCTCTTTCCGGTTTAGGGTTTAGATTTGCTAGCACTTGTGCATGTCTTTTGTAATACTTGCAAGTTTATTGATCTCTAGATCTTCCAAAAAGAAAAGGTTGCATGAGCTTCCTGACGTATTGGCATTCCAACAGGGCAAAATAGAGTATAGATGAGTCAAGTTAGCCTTATTTGAGCTCATTAATTCTTGATGCATCCTACAATTCAGAACTTTGGGGTCTTGGTGGAGGTCCCACAATATGTTTGGAGTTCATATCACCTGCAATTCTTTTACTTACGATTTTATAATTTGATTAGTTGGACAAACCAAAATCTGACATTTGAGCTCATTTATGTATTTTATTTGCATTTTGCGAAAAGTGATATTTATCGAGGTTTATTTGAAATATTTATTTTTAAAATTCTAAATGCATATTAAAACTCAAAATTAATGAATGCTTATATATATCTTTTTTAAAAATTTCAATCTTATAGCAACCAATTGAATTTAAGAACTATATATGTCTAATTTTTAAAAGTAACTGCCCTGAGCATTTGGTTCAATGGTAGGTGTATGTATCCTTTAGCTTAGAGAGCTTGGTTTCCCTCTTTCCCCAAATATAAAAAAATCTAAAAGCAACTTAAAAGAAAATGTCTTCATGAAAATGGCTCGTATATACCTTGCACATGCTACCATAATGATTAGTCTATGTAAGTTTCCCAGTTAGTACAATAAATAATAGAGAGCTGGGCATCTAGATTTTGTTGACACTTTATGTATACATTCAATGTCAATTCTTTTTCTGGTTTTAACACTCTTTCATTCACTTGCAAAAGGCATTTCACATTTGAATTTGGATTTTGGTATTGAGTTGTAAGAATAATCATTACAATCATAATGAGGAACAGCCCCATTGAAGTTGTAGCGGGCTAGAAAATAAGGATGAGCGGATATAGTATAACTGCCCATACCTCTGTTCCACGACAGACACCCCCCCTCCCTGCAAGAAGAGAGAGAGAGAGAGAGAGATGGACAAAGTAGAAAGTGAAGGGAGTTTCAGGATTTTAAATCAGGCAGAGCCTGTTTTCATCCTTGCATCTTATGTTACCAAATACAGATATTCTGGATGTTCTCAAAATTGCATTGCACATTTATGTACGTAAATGACATGAAACTCATAATGTGTTGCAGGCAATTAACAGCTTAAAGAATGTTGATTCCACTGCTTTGCTTCAGTTTCTTCATCCGATTCTGAATATGCTTCTCCATCTTATAGGGAATGGTGGAGAAACCCTTCAGGTTTAAATTAAAATTTTTCATTTTTTATTCACTTAAAAATTTGTGTTCCCCTTCTCCCTCTAAGTGCCCTTATATCTTTCCTCGAGCATATAATAATTTAGCTTCTCCATGTTATACTGGCTTGCTTACTGTATTTGCTGCTATCTCATTTCGGTTCCTTGCTTCAGGTTGCTGCATTCAGAGCCATGGTCAATATCCTAACCAGGTATGCTCTTTAGTTAATTGATTGACAGATGGTTACGTAATACTTGTAATGCACTCATCATAACCATGAAAACGTCAAAAGCTTATGCCTGCTTGGGTATTTATTTTAATCAAAATTACCTTTGTCATGTTATTTATGTATGCAGTCTTTAATATATTCTGGAATGCACATGTGCCCTAGCTCAATAAACTTCTAATTTCTGCCATGTTGGCTATTTTATCTTATGCTTATGAAGCAAACTCATCCTTCATCATTATTGTTTGAACTGTTAGCGTGTGCTTTATGAACTGGTTAAGCCAAAGAACATTGCCTTTTCTGGTTTTATCAAATTGGACATCAGTTTTTTCTTTTAGCATGTGTAATCTATTTTTCTTTTGCAGGGTGCAGCAAGAGTCAGTTGATGATGCTGAACGAAATCGCTCTCTGGTTAATTATGTAGATTATGCTTTTGATGACTTTGGTGGTCGTCAACCTCCAGTTTATCCGGGTTTGTCTACTGTGTGGGGTAGCTTGGCTCGTAGTAAGGTAATTTTCCCAGTAGTTACTATTATTAGTTTCCTTGTTTTTCCTTCCTGCTTTGATATCCTTTTTCTTGATTAAATTTAATGATGTATATGCTTTCTATATGTTACTACCTAGTAGATTCTTAATCAGAAAACGTCATTGCATAATTTCTAAATTCCTATATCACCCAAGCTATTCACTTTGTTCTAATTTACCCAGGTCGTATACTTACAAATTTCTAATAGTTGACTAGTGGAACCTCAGAATCATAACTAATTGGAATGCTCAAAATAAAATATTGAAGAGATTTTTTTTGCATACTTTTCTGAATTATGATTATGTAGGCATTTCACATTGAAGAAGAATTTTTAAAAGAAAATTGCAGTATATAAAAAACTTTTAAGCGATATTGACTTAATGCATCGAGGAGGCTTTAACTTAATATGTTCAATATTTTTCATTTGAATTATGGTTTATCTTCAAAATGATTAGCCAAATGCACTGAAAAAATTAAATCATCGAAAATTAAAATTTTCAAAGAAGTCAACTTTTTATCAAATAGCAGCTGAGCTCTTGGTGCTAAAGTTACTTATAATGTTAGTCTAATGTGGACTTTAGTTAGTAATCATAGGGACTGAAATCATTGCATTGTTGATTCTGTTTTTTATTAGTACTTTTTTCCTTTGATAGTTTTAATATATGATACTTTTCTGCAGGCTAAGGGTTATCGTGTTGGACCAGTATATGATGATGTGCTGGCAATGGCTTGGTTTTTTCTTGAGCTAATTGTCAAGTCAATGGCATTGGAGCAAACACGTCTGTTCTATCATAGTCTTCCATTAGGTAGATTTACCTTACATGCAAGAAGAATTTCAATGCATGCAGACACACACATACACACATACGCATGTAGGTTTATGAATCTCTCTCATACTTAAACCAATGAAGCAATTGCCAACTGTTATATCTTTCTGTAACTTTCTCTACAGCTAATGTTTTAACAAGTCAAGTGTTGGAGTTAATATTATATTCATGCCTTTAACATGTTTAAATTTTAAGTCAATCTGATATCTATAACCTATTGGTTGAGTACTCTTTCTTTTAGAACATATATTTAATGGTTGAAAGTCTTATAATGTCAAAACTAACTATGTATATTTAATTTACGTGAAATTTTGGTAAGAATGATTACATGAGTAGATCATGAAATTTAACATTGGATTAAAATGTGTATTACATAAAAAGATATGAATTCTTAAATCAATATAAATTGATCCCTCCTTATATATATACACACACACACCCACACACATGCCCTCACACTGACACGATTCTGTTAATTCTACAATGAATGTAAGTTGGAGGAAGTTCTCACTAAAGCATAGAAGTAAAATTGAAAATAGCTTGTATTCTATCACAATTTCAGAAATCAGTTTTTGTTTTCTTTTAATATAGATGAAGATGTTCCGCCGATGCAGTTGAAAGAGGGTGTGTTCAGATGTATAATGCAGCTGTATGATTGCCTTCTAACTGAAGTTCATGAGCGTTGTAAGAAAGGGCTAAGCTTGGCAAAACGATTGAACAGCAGTTTGGCATTCTTTTGTTATGATCTTTTGTCTGTCATTGAGCCTCGCCAAGTTTTTGAATTGGTATGTTTTTTATTTGATTCATTAGTCTAATACAGACTCTACTAACTCGGACATGCTGCTCTTTACACTTATTAGTGTCATATTCTGGTATTTGAATAGACCATTGCATGTTAAGAGACTCTTTGAATTGAAATTTCACCATTTCATTCCTGATTTTATGCCTGCAATTTTTTCTTCACTTGCTTCAGAAACAACCCCACTACCCAACAATATTAAATTTTTAATTTAAGAAATCTGAAGCATACTCTTGGTCTAAGAATCTGCAACAACAATTCTGAAAACTGTTACTTGATGCTCTTTAGACTTATTAGTGTCATAGTCAAGCATGAATTGACCATTGCATGTTAAGGGAACTTTTTGAATAGAAATTTAACTGTTTGGATCATGGTATGATCCAGGGAACTTATTTTGTTTGGATCATGAATTGTAGTAGTAATATTCTTGTATTAATCACTCATCTAGCATCTTAATCATGGTTTACTTTTGCTTGCATTTGACTTAACCTGATCAGCACAACAAGAAGCGAGCTATGAAGTACAAAAAACAAAAACGCGGAAAGAAAGCTAAGAAATGGCTTAATCCTACAGTACTTAAATATTTGTCCAAAAGCCATGGCCCAAAATGTATACCCTTAAAGACAAAAATTTACTAAAACATAGAACAGTGCACAACCATCCTCCACCATTACAAACCTAAGCTTCTGCAGGGCAAGAACTGAAAGCACTCGAAGTATCACTTAGCTGAATACCTCATGAGCACAACAGAAAAACCCAATTTAAATATAGGGTGTGCAGGACAATAACAACCCAAAAGTTATTGTATCAAACAATGCCAATGGTTAGAGAACTTCTTCAAATATTGCAAGGAAAAAATATTTTAGATTGATGCTAAGAAAATTTCTTGATCTAACGAAAAGTGTACATACAAAATAGGAAATATAAAATCAAAAGGATAAATATAACTAAAGCAACTAATACCTTCTGATTGACAATCACAGTTTTGGAAACAATGGATCTCTCTCTATCTTTATGATGAAAAACATGTCAAGCCTACAGAATCCACTATTGATTGTCCGATCCTATCAAGCAAATCTCAGTTGATTGAGTGAAAAATGTGACAGTAGAAGGCTATTTATAGACAACACAAGTGTAATGGCATCAGAAGAATTGAGAAAGAGAAGGTTAGCATTATGGTCGAAACACACTAAATTCTAGTAAAACCTTTAGCATAAAATCCAAGTAAATCCAATTGAAGCGCAATTAAGTTTAGATATGATGACTGATTGGACACAGAAAAAATGAAGCAAAATTACCTAAACCTCTTTGAGCAACCCTCTTAAAAAGTCAATTAGTGACCATATTATTTCTGTGGGGGAGTTGAAAATAGACATTTGTATTAGATAATCTAGGAATCTTAAGAGTCTATAACTATCGTGACACTTATCCCTAGAGTGAGGAATTCTTTGTTAATTTAGATCCCATGGCTCTGAGTTTAGGAATTGACAAGGTAGTTTAGGCTTTGGGAAACTTGGATGCAGTACGGCATATGTGTACAATGAGTAGCTTTGGTTTTCCACAACTGTTTACTATTTAATAAGGTGAAGCGCAAACAGTCATTCAAGTCCACATACAGCTGTAGACTTTGTTTTTTTTAATGAGTTACAGCAAATGTTGGAGGCCTGTCTCAATCTGATATTTGTTCTTTTGGGTGAGAGGGTTCTGTTATGTACAAGGATGAAGGAAAGGAGAAATGATTACTTCCAATAAACTGGTGGTGTATGGCCCTGAAAATATTGATCATGTTGTTATCGCTGTTGTTCTGAGGTTACTCACTTTCTAAATGAGTTTTACGTGCTGCAGGTGTCCTTGTATCTGGACAAGTTTTCTGGGGTATGTCAATCAGTTCTGCATGATTGCAAGCTAATATTTTTGCAGATAATATGTGATCATGATCTTTTTGTGGAAATGCCTGGGAGAGACCCTTCGGATAGGTACTTTATTCTTCTTGTGTTCGTACGCTTCACTCCTTCTCAACGTAAATTTCTGCTCAATGGTGTGCCCTTATGGAGAACATCCCTCTTTATAGGGGAGAACTTATATAACTTGAATGTATTTTTAAATAACAATGTTGGTTTTTTGCTCTGACACTATCATCAGTTCTAATATGATAAATGGCATCAACTTTTCCTCATTGTTATTATCTTACACAATGAACAGTGTATGTCCTTAGTTTTGAATGCAACCAAAATTTCCTTATTGTAAAAGTTGGCAGAAGGGGCTTCAATTTCTAATTGAATGATACACATGTTCATGAAGAAGGAATAATATAGTGTCTTCCATGTTTTTAGAGTTCAGTGTTTAGCGATATTTCATAACCCACCCAAACCTCTGATGTAGGAGAGCTTTGAAGGGGTCGGGGGGTTTGCATTAAATTATAAGAAATTAGTTGTTTTTGTAGGTGAGCAACAAAAGTTGTCTTTTCAGGTTCTTATTCAGGGTCAATTGAAGTCAGGTCAAAAGAATGGGTGACCACGGGAAGAATTGGTGTTATGATTAAGTTGCCATGGTATTAAATTGGTTTGGGATGAAGTATTGCTGGCTTGGTCTGTGAATGGATATATTGGGTTAGGGTTAAAATTAGATTGTAAAATGATGTGAGTTTGTATATGGTGTAATAAATGGCTGTTCAAAGAGACCATGAGAGCTACTGAAATTCGAAATTAGTTCTTTACTTAATAAAATATGTTACATGATTGCTTGTAGAGTTCTAGCGATCCTATCTTTTAAGGACTTGAGATCCAAAATAAGAAAGTACCAAAATTGACTTAAAACAACTCCTTAAATATAAAGAATAAATAAAAGAAAAAAAATCTAAATCACAGTTGTTAAGATTCAAAATCTGCAACATCTGAGAAACCTGGAAATTGTCTTTATACCTGGCATTATAAAATTTCATCCTAAAGAAACAAAAAAGTTACTTAATGGTATCATTTCAGCTTAAATGGGTCCCTAAAAATACCAAATAAAGGTCATATTTTTAGAGTATCTAGGTAATTAATCTTGGCTTGCTTTCGCATGATTGTCGTCCATGTCACCTGTCCCTAATGGTCCAGAGGTCAATTAGTGATGCTACTTGATATGGAGTAATCTAATTAGTTTATCATTTTATCAAAAGATTCACTAACAGTAGTT